TCTTTTTTTCCCGTTTAATCTTTAATCCTTGAGAATATGAATTATATTGTTTGTTTGATGCTAATTATATATTAAGTCATATCAGATAGCCTGAGCTCGGGCCAAACACACATTTGCTCATGTGACGAGGATGTTTTTTAAGTGCCTAAGCTTGGTTTACATAATAAATAATAGTTTAGCATTCAAATACATCGCAAATATGGACACATTTAATTGGATTAATGCTGAATGAGAGAGGTAAGCTGCACGAGAACACCGTTTGCTTTGTTTCGCATTGAATTAGCCTCATTCGTTTTGGCTTGTTTAGCAACTTAGTATATTTTTCATTCTTGTTTTCTTCTGAAACCGTTCATAATACCCTATAAGCTAGGTATTGTGTTTATTGTTTGTACATGATAATATTTCGCTTTATTTACCAGTGTTATTTATGAATGTAATAATGCGATTTGTGCTTATATTTTTTTAACCTAAACTACAACGTAACATTAATGTAGACCTACATACCTTCCGACGAGTGCTTGCGGTGTTCGGCCAATCACAATGCACTGGGTCAGCTGGCCAATCAGAGCAGACTGCGCTTGTCGGAAGGAGGGACTTTGTAGAAAACGAAGCGTTTGAGAGAGGCGGGACATATAGGACCTACGATAATGTACAATATTTGAAAAATAATGTGTTTTTTTAACATTAAAGCATGTCAACATATTCTGTTACACCAAATACACAAAATAATGATCTTTAAAAAAGCATCATATGACCCCTTTAACTAGTAATATATAATGTATTACATTTTGAGAGTAACTTGCCCAACACTGTATATATATATATATAATAGGCTATATTACATATTGTAATATTATATAATGTTGTGCGCTATCTGACACGCCCACTGAAGGCTCGTCAGTAGATCACACGTGTGCTGAAGTGAACTAACCCTGGAACATAACCTGCTCCGGAGCAGGTTATCTTCAGAGAGCAAGTTACTATAGTTACTTACATACCCTGAAAGTAACCTCCGAATTTGGAACCGAAAGCTGAGGTTATCCGCTCGCTTATCCTCAAACATACCCGGTTATGTCACATAACCTGCTTTTTGGAATACCTCCCAGGAGGTGTAAGAGAGAGGAACACAGTATACACACACAGGAAACACAATTGTTAGTCAAATCATACAAAATAAATAAAAATAAACTTATACGTCCCTATGGACGTAACACCCCCACCACTAAGTTTTTTCCTCGACTTTGCATTTCACCTAATGCAAAAAGGGGAAAAATAAAGTAACACGTATAACACTTTAAGTTTCAGCACGATAGGCCCAAGCAATCACATTTTCAGAGCCTCTCAAATGACGAATATCAAGATTATACTTTTGCGCAATTAATGCCCATTGCATCAAGCGTTGATTTGAATTAGACATCTGAGCGAGGAAAGTTAAGGAGTTGTGATCTGTGTACACAAGAAGAGGAGCTGCACTACCTCCTATGTAAACATCAAAGTGTTGAAGTGCCAGTAAGAGCAAGAGCCTCTTTTTCGATAGTACTATAGCGCCTCTGATAGGATGTAAACTTCTTTGAAAAATAGGAGACTGAATGATAAACACCATGTTCATCTTCTTGCAATAACACTGCAGTGTGAACGACTTTTCAAAATTAGGGGCCGAGAGTACAGGAGCATTACACAACAGGTCCTTCACTGCATCAAAAGCTAGTGAACAATCACGGTCCCAGATGAACTTTCGGCTACTGCTTAAAAGATCAGTGAGTGGGGAAACTACTGCGGAGAAGTTCCTGCAAAATCCTCAGTAGTAGCCTGCCATACCAAGAAATCGGCACAATTCACGTTTATTGCTGGGGGTAGGGAACTGTAGGATAGCCTCCACTTTGGCAACAACAGGTCTCACATATCACTGACCCACTTTTTTCCCCAGATAAGTGACTACTGCCTTTCCGAGCTCACATTTGGCAGCATTTAAAGTCAGCGAAGCTGCAGCCAACTTATTGAACACATTCTCAAGTACTTTAACATGTTCTTCCCACGTACTTGAATAGACAACAACATCATCTATGTAGACCTCTCAATTAGTGATACCTGCCAGGACCCTCTGCATCAGGCGTTGAAAGGTAGCGGGCGCATTTCGCATCTCGAACGCTAGAACCTTGTACTGCATAAAATGATCTGGTGTCACAAACACAAAAATTTCAGAGGCACGGGGAGTGAGAGGGACTTGCCAGTAGCTCTTAAGGAGGTCTAACTTCGATACAAAGTTAGCGGAGCCCACCCTGTCTACATAATCCTCCACTCGTGGCAACGGGAACGAATCTGCTTTGGTGACTCTATTCACCTTGCGGTAGTCTGTGCAGAAACAAAAAGATGAGTCTAGCTTTGGCACAAGTAAACAGGGGGAACTCCACGGGCTTCGACTGGGCACGGCAATATCATGACAACATGTACTCAATCTCCTCCTTCATTATTGCACGTTTATTCGGGTTAACTCTATATGCAGTTTGTTTAACTGGCAGAGAGTCACCCACATCAATATCATGGGTTAGCACTGAAGTTCTGCCTGGCACGTCAGCAAACAGTGAAGTGTACTTGTCTATCAGCTGCAGAAGTTCTTAACGCTGACAGTCTGTCAGATAGGAAAGAGTGTTAGGCAAGTCTTGCAGAATCACTGAATTTTTAAGCCTTCCACATGAGCTGACAGGAACTTTTTCTATCAAGTCATCCTCGACAAGACAATAACTGGCAGTAGAGACAGCAGCTACAAGGGCAACACTTGCAGTAGGGGAGTAGGTTTTTTCTCCTCGCTTCAAATATCGTTTCAACATATTTACATGACAGACGCGTTTACGTCTTTGCCGATCTGGGGTGGCAATCACATAATCAGTGTCACTCAGTTTTTGTTCAACAGTGTAGGGTCCTGAAAACTGAAAACAAACACAGAGCCCAGCACTGGCAAGACGACAAGAACAAGGTCACCAGGGCTGAACTCTTTTTATCAAAGCATTTAGATGCTTTTTTGTGATGTCCCAGGCACCATTCAGGCGCTCCCTGAAAAAACTGACATACTCTGACACTGGCACCGGCGAACGATTCACAGAAAGCAACTGTTCACTCAGCATTTTCAAAGGGCCGCGAACCATGTGACCAAACACAAGGTCAGCAGGACTAAACCCGGTTGATTGACTCACCAATGGCAAACAGAAGGAAAGGAAGCCCCTCATACCACTCTCTTCCAGTTTCAACACAGCAGGGCTCCAAACTGCGAATAAAACGGTTGCATTTGCGACCAAAAATATTAAATTGCGAGTGTTTTTGCTGAGGTCGCCACTCGCGACTAGGCCTATGTATTTACATGTTATAACTTAAAAAATGTTATTTAAATTAAAATTTTAAATTTAAAAATGCCTTTTTTCCTGATCGTTTTGTGATCACATCTTTTGTTATGTTCGCGTATTAAACTGAGACGATGCGCATCAAAGTTTTAGTGGAAAAAATCGTTTCAAACAGTCCTCATCTCTGGCGCACAGCAGCGCTGACGCACACCTGCTAAATGCAGCTCAGTTGTGCAGCGCAAGGGAGGTCGAAATGATGGAGACGTAAGAAGTGAAAGTGCAAAAAAACAGCGACGTTTATATTTTTTCTACAAATCTTTTAGTTAACATGTACTAAACATGAGTGGAATTTGCACTGCAGCGCCCCCACACCTTGATGCTCATGACAAGAATAGCATGTATAGTTATCTTTATTGAAGTGAATTAGGTTTAAATCGCCGTCATGCATGAATGAATGATATTTTTGCAATTTTACACATAATAATCCACGATGATCACATTACACAAAACTGAAATTGCACGTCAAAATAACAGTCAATATTTTTTTGAGACCCCCCCCAAAATTTCACAAATCACGTTTTAAGGGGAGCCCATGTCTTATTAAGGGGAGCCGAGCTCCCCCTAGCTCCCCCGTAGTTCGCACCCTGATAGGTCTATGCTGTGTTCTGTTAATGCGTGAACTTAATTACTTGAAGCGCACTTGCCGTCCAGTAATCGCAAAAAGCTTTGTGCTTTCTTACTTTTTAATAAACAAAGTATCAGCTTAAAATTATTCCAAATTCATAACGAAATTCAAACAATAAATACAGTTTTGGATCATTAATGGCACGATCGTTCGGAACTAGATGGAGATAAACTTTCGATTAAAGCACTATCTTTAAAGAACGGGCTCTTTCAGTGAAAAAGAGTCTGCACTGCCACCAAAAAAAACACAGGATCTCAAGAACTGTCCTCAGTCATCTTATCTTTTATTTATTTTTATTTGTTTCGACTGTGTGAGTATTCACTTTGAAGAATCCATTAAAACTATTAGAGTTTACCTGTTTTTAGTCCATTTTAAAGACAGCTGTTGTATTCTGTATTGGTTACTTTGAATCCTCTTTGTCAACAGAAGATGCAACTATAACAAGCTCTAGCTCTATTTCCACTTATTCACTTTGTGCCGTGTTTTGATTACTTCACTAAAAGTGTCTTGTTTTTTCTTCGTACTGCACTGTTTGTGCTATCAGTTTACTATTTTGTATATGCACTTTTATATCTACTGTGTCAGTTAATATTTTTACAAATGTCTTTGCTGTTCTTAATTCGCACTGACAACAGTTAATACTAGGTTTATAAATGTCTTGCTGTTCTCACAGCAAATGTTAGCGGAGTGAATGACCTGCCACATAACATGTCGTGCCATCTTCTCATCGAGCCTTCATCAAAGCATGGGCTGCTCCAAGACCATGACGTAATGGTCCGGGTCGTCCTGCCGGTCCAGGAGTTTAATTATCTGCGGATCGCTGGGGCCCTTATTGGCCATGAGTGTCAGGCCGATCTCTGTGGGGAGGCGCTTGGGATGACCAGGCTAAAAGAAGGAACATATGATGCTTAGATAGAGGTGCTTTCTCAGATTAACATGAATATAAGATAAGAAGAAACTGAAAACAGTGAATGAGATGCAATTATATAGAAAGCGCAGGCTACTTACAACCTACAATATATGGCATATCTGGTGTCTTGTCAGCAATTTTCACAGCCACCTGATCAACAAAACAAAGAATTAACGATAAGCATGTGCACAGAGATCATTCCAGTCATGAATACTGAACAGGTATGGAAAGTTTTGTAAGTGAAATAGAAGTAAAAAAATGAAACCTTGAGGCCTTCCTGCATGCACATAACCATAGCCTCCTTCACCCTGCAGCTTGGGGCCGAATTCATATCTCCAGAAAATGTGGCCTATTAAAAGATAAACAAATGTTGAGCATGATTTTTTTATGCATTTTATAATTTAGAATTACATTTTACTTACTAATTCTCATATATGTATTACTGTTACTGTTGTCTGGCTCCTCCGCTTCATCATCTTCAGTGGAGCTAACTTCAGCTGTTCCTCTACAGCAGGGAGGACTTCAGAAGCTGGAGCTTCTCCAAGATCATGAATCTCTACAATTTGCTGTAGAGAAGTCTTATCTAAAGAGGAGAATACCAATCATATGAATCAAATCGCATAAATAATATGTGACCCTGGACCACAAAACCAGTCATAAGGGTCAATTTTTTGAAATTGAGATTGTATGCATCATCTGAAAGCTAAATGAATAAGCTTTCCATTGATGTATGGTTTGTTAGGATAGGACAATATTTGGCTGAGGCTTTCTCAGATTAACATGAATATAAGATGTTAGAAACTGAAAACAGTAAATGAGAAGCAATAATATAGAAATCGCAGGCTACTTACAACTCTGATCTATGGCATATCTGGTGACTTGTCTGCAATTTTCACAGCCACTTGATCAACAAAACAATTAACATGTGCACAGTGATCATTCCAGTCATGAATACTGAACAGGTATGGAAAGTTTTGTAAGTGAAAAAGGAGTAAGTAAAAAAATGAAACCTTCAGGCCATCCTTGCATTGAGTTCCTGCATGCACATAGCCATAGCCTCCTTCATCCAGCTTGGGGCCAAATTCATATCGCCAGAAAATGTGGCCTATTAAAAGATAAACAAATGTTGAGCATGATTTTTTATGCATTTTATAATTTAAAATGACATTTTACATACTAATTCTCATATATGTATTACTATTATTGTTGTCTGGCTCCTCTGCTTCATCATCTTCAGTGGAGCTAACTGGAGTGTGAACGTCCTGATGGAGGACGTCCTGCTCCAGCTGTTCCTCAGGAGCAGGAAAGACTTCAGAGACTGGAGCTTCTCCAAGATCATGAATCTCTACAATTTGCTGTTGAGAAGTCTTGTCTAAAGAGGGGAATACCAATAATATGGATCAAATCACATAAATAATATGAAAGGTACCCTGAAATGCTTAGAAACACGCAGCGTTACTCTATGTGTTGACGTCATTTTAACTGAAACAGGAAGACAGGGCGGAACATATCAAGCAGCCCCGCCCCTTTTTAAAATAGCCAATAGCGTTCGTTTATATCACAGCTTGGGCTACATACTCAAATTAGAGTGGTTCTTCGTTTAGAGGAACCTTTGAAAGACTGGGAATGAGAGAATGTGTGTGTTGTTTTAGATGATGGCAGTAATCTTACCCTTGTCCAGCTCTTCCACTTTGTCCTCTTCAGTCAAACTAACTGGAGTGTGAACATCCTGATGCTGGAGGACGTACTGCTCCAGCTGTTCCTCTACAGTAGGGAGGACTTCAGAGACTGGAGCTTCTCCAAGATTAGGAATCTCTACAATAGTGATGTGTTGTAGAGAAGTCTGATCTAAAGAGGGAATGTTAATTACATAATTTTTACTTATAATATTTTATATAATTTATTTAAAAAAAATTTAACTTCTTTAGACAATGTAAATCTTATTTATTTCTGAATAAACATTCGCAATAATTCGCGTTTTGGACACCTGTTGCTTTGACAAGCTGGAATGATTTTATTGTTTTAAAATATTAGATTTAATTTCAGCTGACATTTATATTATTTAAAGTAAATTACTTTTATGGTTTTAGTTTACTGTAGTAGTCTAAAAATCTTAATCTTAAATTTAAATCTTAAATTTAATTTAACTTGTGATCTTTAAACTCTCACTCTAAAATGTTTAGTGTGATAAAGACAGCAATATCTGGGCCAGTGATTTTTTTGTTGTACACAAGATCTACAGAAGTTTCCCTAATTAAAGTATTGCCCTTTAATCAAAACTTCTATCATCATATGTGTTTTTACCATCAGTAATTCTCTGGTTCACTTTCTCAGCTTTAGCCACGTTGTATGTCCCAGGTCTTCGGCATAATAAGTGAAGAAGGCCGCATCTCTAAATCCTCTTCTTCTCTCATCTCCTTTCTCCCTTCATCTCTCACATCAGCACCACCAGGTGTCTCATCGAGCCAATGAGGATGGTTTTCTGCTATGATGGGCATGTATTTGAGAGGCACACAGGGTTGGGGTCAGTGTGCACGCTCCACTTTAAACGCTCTCTTTAGTTGTGAAAACAGTCCCATGATAACAGTTTTTTTCACGCTGAAAACAGACTACTCTGAAACTTCAACCAACAAAATGAGCTAATGAGTTCCAAGCCTTTAAATACTAACACATGACACGCTCGAATTGTTTCCTGTCGTCACATGGGGCTCATACAGAGATGTACGGCTGGAATGATAGGAATGTGTGACCTGTTACTTTTGAATAATAACATTCATATCTAATATAATAACAATGTGTGTGTTCTGTTTCATAGGCCTATAGGTTACAATTATGTAAATCTCTCCCGTGAACTGCCAAAATACAAGCAGCACATTACGTGTCCCACCAGAGACAGCAATATATTGGATCACTGTTACACAGCAATAAAGGATGCATATCACTCTGTCGCAGCAGCTAGTGAGGCTGGGCAAACTCACATCCAGGACTATCACCATCAGCACTGGCGCTCCCCAGGGATGTGTACTCTCCCCACTGCTCTTCTCTCTCTACACGAATGACTGCACTTCAAAGGACCCCTCTGTCAAGCTCCTGAAGTTTGCAGACACTACAGTCATCGGCCTCATCAAGGATGAAAACGAGTCTGCTTACAGACAGGAGGTTAAAGAGCTGGCTGTCTGGTGCAGTCTTAACAACCTGGAGCTTAACATGCTCAGGGCTGTGGAGATGATCGTGGACTTCAGGAGAAAACCCCCTGCACTCCCCCCACTCACCATCATGGACAGCACTGTGACTGCAGTGGAGTCATTCAGGTTCCTGGGCACCACTATCTCTCAGGACCTGAAGTGGGACACTCACATAGACTCCATTGCAAAAAAGGCCCAGCAGAGGTTGTACTTCCTTCGCCAGCTGAGGAAATTCAACCTGCCACAGGAGCTGCTGAAACAGTTCTACTCTGCTATCATTGAGTCTGTCCTGTGTTCATCCATAACTGTCTGGTTTGGTTCAGCTACCAAATCAGACATCAAGAGGCTACAACGGACAGTCAGGACTGCTGAGAGGATTATCGATGCCCCTCTGCCCAGCCTCCAAGATCCAGAGTGAAGAAAAGGACTAAAAAAAATCACCTTGGACCCCTCACACCCAGCCCACTCTCTCTTCGAACTGTTGCCTTCTGGTCGGAGCTACAGAGCACTGACCACCAGAACAGCCAGAACAGTTTTTTCCCACAGGCTATATTCAGCCTGAACAATTAATCTTTCATAATTATGTCTGCACTATCATGTATGTCTGCACTATGTTTGTACTTTCTTCTACACTGGAAGCTCCTGTCGTCAAGTCAAATTCCTTGTGTGTGTAAACATACTTGGTAATAAAGCTCTTCTGATTCTGAAATAAATAAATAAATATGAATAAATTATATCTGGGAAAATATGTGGCTAAAATATAATCATAATAGATTTACACTATATATGTTAGCAATATTTTGTTCTAAAATATTCAGATATTTTTTGTATATTTTAAAAGACATAAATAGTTTATTTTTATTACAATAATTAATATATTAATTAATATTACAGTAAAATATATTTCATTTACTGTCAAATTAATTACTTTTGTGAATTTATTATTATTATTACTAATATTACAGTTTTTCTCAGTCACTTTGGTGCATTTCTCGAATCATCCTTAATATTTGCAAAGAAGTATGTGCATCAAAAAAAAACTTTTCCAACGTCATTGTGATATACTAAAGATGTATGGGAAGATATACGAAAGTGAAAATCCAAAATTAGAAAAGGCAAACACAGGAAACACCCCTTAGGCAGAACTTTGCTTTTGCAGGCACCACAGATTCTCATCTACATCACAACGAATATCTTCACTTGCAATGCAACATGGAATTGGAGTCAAGTGAACCATCTCACAACTTCATATATGTGGATGAGGCTGGCTTCAACCTGACCAAAAGCAGAAGGCGTGGTTGAAATGGCATCGGCCAGAGAGCTACTGTTGATTTACAATGCCTGATCCTTATTCTCTTTATTAGTGAAAGTCAAGATTCACCTGTACAAATCATGGCAAATTTACAAAAAGTCTAATAGAAATGTGTAGAAAATATGCTTGAGAGTTTATGACAACTAGATCAACCATTTTGCATTTAATGACTTATACGATGAACTAATGCCTAGATGTTTTGGAGGGTAAGACTATTGCACAGAGAACTATATGGTAAATTTTGAGAAGCATGACATTAGCAACTGATAATGTAGGAAACCACAGACAAATGTACATAATCAATTGCTTGAATGTACCAAAGCAATCGCAACTTGGTCAAAAAAATTAAAAACTGCTTTTTATATATATTATGGCATGCTGTTCAGGAAATTATGGTATTTGTAATATGAAGTTTGAGTATATGGAATGGAAATCGGAATTTATGGAATAAAACTTGAATATATGGAATGGAAGTTTAAATATATGGAATGAAAGTTTGAATGTATTGAAAGAAAGTCTGAATATATGGAATGAAAGAGAGTATCTGGAATGAAACTTGAATATCTAGAATGAAAATTGAATATATTGAATGACAGTTTGAATGTATGGAATGGAAGTCTGAATATATGGGATGAAACTTGAATAAATGGAATGAAAGTCTGAATATATGGGATGAAACTTGAATAAATGGAATGAAAGTCTGAATATATGGGATGAAACTTGAATCAGGCAAGTAGATGATTGACATTACAGAGTTCACCGTTGTTTTGAAACGTGAATGGTAACTTACTGCTAAAATAAGTAACACTGTTGCTTGTGTGAACAGCACATTTGTGTATTTACCTGTAGTTCTGGTAATTTTACGGCAAACTGATGTGTGGTAGATGCGCACATCTAAATTGTAATGTGCTGATCTAAACACAGGAAAACTGCGCTGTTACACGTTCTACAGGCTCACGCAACAGTGCTTCAGACTGATACAGAGCGGTTCGCAATAAAGGAATAGCACACATTTTTGACAGGCGATTGCTTAAGAAATAGTGCTGATGAACTACAGCAATGTTTACTTTA